ATATATATATATATATATATATATATATATATACTAGGTGAGGAGCACCGCGCAATGCGCGGTGCCTGTTTTTATTCACTGCCTCATCAACACTACATAATTGATAAATTTTGGGTTCTCTTCATCTGCTACAGTTAACACTATATCTATCAATCTATCTATCTATTTCGTAAGCACTTACCTTTGAGTCCACTAGCAAAATATGTGTGCGCCTTTTCCAGAGGAATTTTAGCCTGAACATAACATAGCAAATAATGATTCACAAATTTATAGTCTCATTCAAACGGAAAATAGAGAAGCAGATATTTTTTAATCAAAGTATATCACTTGCAGCCAAGATGTCGCTCCCAAACAAAATTCACATTAAACTCCAGTGGTGGAGTTCCTAATCTCACTTCCATATAATACAACGTACAAATCTAATCAGCCAAAGCTAATCATCATCAGAAAAGAAAATTGAACTTTACATAATCACACAATCATATATGGATTAGAAGGGTACCTTGAACACCCTCCTCTATATCTTCTACCGTGAAATTTGCAAAGAATCATACTAATTAATCTAAAAAGCAATTAGACTATTGATATTTAAGTGGGGCAGAAGTAACAAATAAAATCATCGAAACAACCATGCCTCTCCTCGATAATAATTAAAAAGAAAAATGATTACATAACAAATTAACCAGCTAGAAATATAGTGACTTACTTGTGCATGGCCTTGGAGAGAGACTGGAAATAACATTAAAAGAAGTCCATGTTTTCCTAATTAGCTATTTTCACACTGCAAAACAAGCATATTTTGTTAGGTAATCCACACTCTCACACACACACACACACACACATGCATAAATCCGTCATAGCTCTATCCCACATAAAAGAACTGAAAACTGAATATCGTTTAATATATATAATTTAAAAACAGTACTGAAGAAATATCATAAGGAATAAATGCAACACAGACTCATATCGTAAGGAAAATGGAATACCGGAATGTATTGAGGCAAAGAAGAAAATTATTTCATCACTTCAACCATGCGCCTGGATCCAGAATCGGAACCTAAATGGTTTTACCTTAAAGGGAAAACATATAAACTCACCAATTCAGGTTGTCGAACAAATCACTGTATGCATCGGTTGGCTCTACAAACTTGTCAACATCGTGGCTCAATCTATTACTTTATTTGTTCAGGTAAAATAATTTTTGAAAATGGAAAAATCAGCCAACATAAACTTTCCAACTTTAAGAACATAAAAGAACTCATAATAAGTTATCAGAACTAAAAACTATACCCTATTTGATCTGCCTACACCGTTGTTGTGCAGTCTAGAGATATCTTCCACGAGAGGATCACCTGCAAACTGCGTATTAATATAAAAATCTACATAGATGAATAATTAAGAGTGTCTCCCATGTATACAATGTCGATCTGTTTGATTGAATAATACAAGTTTAATATTATAACTATCCAAAGAATACTTGTATATCAGTTCAAAACTTCAATAAAACTCCCAATAAACTAAACAAATAAAAACTAAACTCAAGCAGCAACTTATGACTAATGAAAAGAGAAGCACAGGCAAATTATAAAACCTCTATAGACCACAGATAACCAATAAACATGCATCAATTATTCGATTTTTAAGAATTGGCACACAAATAGTGAAAGTGAAACTCATACGCATCCAGACGGGGCAAAAAAATTGGCGGCAGTGAGGTGCCTGGTCGGCCCCACAAATGCAATCCAAGCAGACGCGCTCCCTCCATAGCTTCAACTCCCTACTCTTACCACGCCTATAAAAAAAAATCCAACATATTAGCGTCAAAAGAACCACCCATTTATAGCAATTTGTACCAAACAAGAAACTAAAAACAATAAGCCAAGATATCATTTTTAATGTGCTTAAAATCAAACAAACTAATACTCATATAACTATCAGAAACTTTTTATTGTTGCAGCTAATAATAAAAGTGATATAACATGATACACTTAAACCTAATAAAAAAATTCAAGAGTATCAACCTGTACTAAATAAACAAGCATCATTTTTTGATACAAAAGAGAGCATGGAATCATAGAACATAGCTGAATTCTAGCAGCACAAAAAAAGATCATTTGTCATTGGAACTGAACTGTAAAATTTTAATGACAGAAAAAACACCTAATACAGTTGTTGCGCAAGTGCAAGTCCTCAATATGTTTTACCAGACAAGACCCCACGAGCAGATCTGCAATGGAAGTGTTTACATTTATTAGTTAAAATTCCAGTCACGAATCGATAGCATAAATTAAACAATCGATACCAGACCTCATTTGATTAAAGATAAAAAGAAAAATCGTGCAAAGGAAACACAAACAAGAAATTGAGCTACAGAGATTTGCTGCACATTTGCTTGTTTGCCACAATCCTCAATTTTCTAAGTTGTAGTTGCCTCATTGCTTTCACCTGCTTCAACAATGCATGATCTTAAAATAAGGAAAAAATCAGGCCACAGTTTGAAGAATAAGACCATATCACCAAAACAGAGAGAAACAAAAACAGAGGAGTTCCATAAAAAAAAATTCAGAATATCCGAACAATAGCAAAAGCAAAGGCTAAAATCGACAAATCATAGACTGACGAGCAAAATCAAGGCCTGAAAAATACAATTTTAGATTAAATATCGAAGAATGCTTTCGGGATGTTATACGGGGTTTACACTTACCACACCAATGTGCTTTTCAAGGCTACAGTGAAATAAATCTCAAGATTTCGCGTCCACAAATGAGGCACGGTGTTGTAGAACACGGAAGAACTAACACGAAGAATCCCCAAAGGAAACACCTAATAATCGTAAAAACAAATGAATAGGAGGAATCATCTCTCCACAAATAAATTTAAAGAAACTCAAATACACTTTGGTAGGGGTATGAAGAATTTTTACAGGAAGACGGGGTAAGGTTTCGAAAGCAAATTGTTGAGCACGTACAAACTGTAAAACCAAAAGAAAATTCATAAAAAAGGAAAGACAATTTGTATAAAATCAGAAACATTATTGGATGAAACATTAAAAAACTTTGAGGCCAAAACCCACAACACCTCATTTCGTCACCACTAATGTAATAAAAAAAATAAGAAGATGATACTAAAGCAAGAGGAAGCTCATAAGAAAGAGAAGACACTGTACGAAGTACGGAAATTTATTAGAAAAAACATGAAAAACTCTCAAATATAAACAAAGGACAGTTGTAATGGCGGACGAGTCTGGGAGAAATTAAATTAATACAAAGAACAGTGGAAGCGTTCCAACCGAGAGTTGAATAAAATCGATCGAATCAATACCAATACATAAAAATTGGGAGAACTGGAGAAAACGAAGAGGATGAGAAAGAAAATAGGATCAGTACCATGATTATGTTGGAGAAAAGGGGTGGGCACCGACAATAGACAATTCTTGAGTAATCCAAGTCCGGATGAGATCGAAAAGGGGGAGCGGTCTGCAATTGGATGAAAAATGCGGTGGGAAGTGACACTGGCAGCTGGGGCGGTGGCCTCGAACGAAGCGGCGGAGGCGGCGGCGGAAGACCTGATTGAAGGCGGCAGAGGAGGGCGGCGGTCATAGTCAGAAATTGTAGGCCCGTGCACCACCGTTCAATACCTGGATGCACACCGTTCAACACCTGCAGAGAAAATTACAGGGAAGAAGTCGTCGATTGCGGCGAAGGGCAGATTTTGAAAAAAAAAAAGGAAAAGGAAAAGAAGAAGCACGCCGTTTCAGAATAAAACTGTCCAAAAAAAAAGCAAAAGTAAATAGGGGGGCGGGATTTGGGGGCCATAGACATATATATATATACTTAAAATATATATATATATATATATATATATATATACTAGGTACGGAGCACCGCGCAAGGCGCGGTGTCCCGTAGTCATATTTGCACAAGTCGATCGGTTATTTCGACCGAGTTGGTGATGCGAATGCACAATGTGATATTGTGCAATCTTTGGATTACTATCCTCACTAATAATCGGTGAAATCTTTGGACATCCACTCGGAGTTCCATTTGTTTATGCATTTTGAGATTTTTTCCCACTATTCGGTAATAAAACCTTTTTAGCATAATCCACATTGTCACATTTTTTATTTCGATTTCCCGTAATTGACTACATTGAGTTCGCCGCCATAAAACTCAACGGTTACACCTACTTGTTTAACACTATACTTCGATTTTGCCCATCCTAAAAAGAACATCAGCTATAACAATTCCGTCAAAAATGGCTCCATAGATTAAAACAATCGAGAATTATTACACCTAATAGTAATTCTTGATAATGGATAATGAGAGATGTTCAATACCGGTAATATCCTTGACACCATCAAAAGCAAGCTGCAGAGAGACTGGCTATCATTATCCAACACCTTTCTTTTCCTCTTATTACCGTTCCCTTGTTCCATCACCTGCATAAACTTCAGCACCGTACGGAGAGCCACCTCTTATCGAATCCATTTTAAACACACCTGCTCCAAAAGTATATCCAATCGGAACAAAAAGCATTCCGTATCTGCTAGTTGAGTAATTGCAGTTCACCTAAATCGGTTAACGTGAGAATTGAATCAAATTTTATCATATGACAAAACACATGTTCGTTCTTATCATCTTACGATTACATACGAGGACCCTGTTTCATCAAAGAGACAACAAAGATGTACAGCAAACAACAAAACTAAAAGAGTGATCTACTGTTAACTAAGATTTTCAACCAATCATTGAATTGTAAACCGAAAGTGAAAAGGCCTCGTTTGGTTAATCACAATTGTGGGTTGGCTTGAAAAGTTGATGGACTAAGCATACATCCAATACGGTCCAATATTTGATTAACCGTGACTATACCAACCAAACGAGGCCAAATAATATATAAAACAACGGCACGAAAATGCCTTTAAAAACAATGTGGGGTTCGTATATATTTCTTGTGATTGTACATTATGCTTCGGTGGTAAAAGAAATATGCTTCCATAAACACATTACTCGATCTCATCATTCATGACTCCCATCAAACTAACACCAATAGTGAAGAGAAGAATGGATGATGAAAAAACACGAGTTCTAATGCACTTTGACATGTTCGTAATTGTGATTCTACTACTAATTAGGGTCGATGAAGCTAAAATTAAGAAGATGCAGCAGATTAGAGGTAAAAACATAACAACTGTTTTAGATTCTTATACCTCCACTATTATTATTTATTACTAACTGGTTTACGAGATATAACATACGAGTCGCATACGTTGTTCACACTAAAAGTCATCGATCTTTACGTTAAAATTCATAATTTCTTGCCAACATAAGCTGCATAACAACATATAGATTGATTGCTTTTCCATGATAGGCCGTAGTCACCGAACGAAGGTTCCCACTTGTTTCGTTCAAACGCTATCCCCTTATTTAGTAATAAGTCCCCGAAAGAAATTTACGACAGGAATTACGGAAATCAGTTTAGCAGAAAACTCAGAAAAGTTGACCAATAAAAAACCCACCATCATCAATCGTGCATCTTATTTAGAATTCACATTACTAATTTGCAAATATTTTAAAGAAACTCAATATACGCATTTCTTGCATTTGTATCGATGGAAACTCAATCAATCAACGGCTAATTCTTACAGCAAACGTTAATATTAAAACCAAACATATATCGAGTATGAAAACAAAGAAAACAATAAGAGCAACAACAGTAAGGGGGCCTTACGCAGTGGTCTATTGGTCGCCGCCTTGAGTGCCGGTGCTGACGAAAAAGCCGGCTTGTTTTCCGGGCGAGTTTTTGCTCCCTCCATAGCTGCACAGTCGAATCAAAGAAAGGCTTCATTTGCGCAGCCATGGACCCGTACCTCGTCAGAAACCCGAAGAGAAACCCATCGGCGCCGGTCAAATCCTCCGGAAACCCGATTACGGGAATCGAACCGGTCAAATCCTCCGGAAACCCGATTACGGGAATCGAATCGTCCTTCTCTGGGGCCAGCATTTTGGCGGGGACTTCATCGGGAAGGGTTTGGGGCACCCGGTAGAGCACGGCGTCGATGCCGCAGACGCTTCAACCGGCGGGCGAGGCCCTCCACGTGGTAGTACACTATGAAGAGTTTGAGATTCCGATTGGGTTCGGAGGGAACGAATCACCCTGTAAAGGGATAATAATGGAGAGCAGCCACCGATTGCTCGCTATATATATATATATATATATATATATATATATATATATATATATATATATATATATATATATATATAAAAGGCGAGCCCCCATCCCTTGGCCCGACAAGGATTGATGGAGGAATGTAAATCATGGTAACTCAACGGCCCGTTAAGGTAGCGGACCCGGACCTGGTGCCCACAAGGAACCAACTCATTGGAGTTGAAAGGCTGCCAAGATTCGATCCTAGGACCTTGCACCAACTTACCACCTCCGGAACCAGTTGAGCTACACCCATGCGGGCAAAATTTGATTATTAATAACGCCCACCGTGGGGCTCGAAACCACGACCACAAGGTTAAGAGCCTTGCACTCTACCAACTGAGCTAGACGGGCAATGTAAACCGAAATATGCCGAACACCCTTTATTGGGATTTTAATTCTTGATAAATCCTTTATTTATAAATGACATTTGAGATAAATCCAATGGGCCTGAAAAACCATATATACCCCCACTAACTATTAATTAGTATAATTATTTAATTTTACAAAAAGTATATACATAATCTACACCTAAATCTTCTCCAAAAATTATTCCCCTTATCACGCTAATTCAGTTTTTTTTTTCTTTTCTTATTTATTTTGTTTAATGATTTTCTTTATTCGATTTAAAAGAAAATTTTGTAATTATTATTTTTTTTTTTTTTTATTTTTGGTTTTTTATTTTAAATTATTTTTTTCTTATTTATATTTTCATGCTTTTTATTTTAATTTAAAAAATGATTTAAATTTTATTTTAATTTTTTCATGGTTTTTATTGTTTCTTAATTTCAATTTTATTTAAAAATGGTTTTTTTTTCTTTCCAGTTTTTTAAAATAAAAACCACTCATATAAACATGAAAATCACTCTATATAACACAACTATATAAACATGAAAACCACTCTATATACCAGCAATATAACATGAAAAACACTAAATTTATCGAAAACCACTATGAAGTTAAAAGTACAAATTAATATAAAATAAGCATAAATTTATCGAAAACCACTATAGAATTGAAGTAAAATTTACTATAAAATAAGCATAATCCACATTAAAAAAACGTAATCCACTATTAAATTAGTGTAATCGACTGTTACATAAGTGTAATCCAGTATATGTTCATCCAAAACCACTATTAACAAATGTTCATCCAAAACCACTATTAACAAATGTATACAAACAAATTCGGCATCACTTTGGTTGCTCAAGAACTTGAACCAAAAAAGCCTTGTGTAATGGGGGGCTTTTGACAAATAATCCCTATAATCTAACCCCTTGTACATATACAAGGACTCTGTATCTATATAATTGCTCGAATAAAATATTCAAATTTTTTTTGGTTATGGATTTACCGACTTGTGTGTGTGTTGATTAATCAATGGCGGCGGAGGAGGTTCGTGACAGGATCAAGGGGCCGTGGAGTACGGAGGAGGATGAGTTGTTGAATAAATTGGTTGAGCGGCACGGCACTAGGAATTGGTCGTTCATATGCCGGTCGATTTCGGGGAGATCGGGGAAGTCCTGTGGGCTGCGGTGGTGCAATCAGCTTTCGTCACCGCCCGTTCACGGCGGAGGAGGACGAGACTATTCTCAAGGCGCACGCCGAGTTTGGGAACAAGTGGGCGTCGATCTCGAGGCTGCTCGTCAGGCACACCTATAACGCGATTAAAAACCACTGGAACTCGACGTTGAAGCGGAAATTCGCCGCGGATGTGGCGGCGGGGAGGAGGAGCGACGGACGCAGGTTTTGAGGCGGAGCGGCTGCGGAGATATTTCCGATGCGATGAGGATTTCTTGATGAATGATTGCAGGGGAGAAGCCGGTGTTGTTCGTAATTAATTGCGTTATAATAGGAAAATATATTATTATATCGCATTTAATTTATAATTAATTGCGATATAATAGGAAAAGATATTACAAATCTTTTTTAATTTTTTTTATTTCCAATCATAAAATATACGTTACTTTTAGGTTAGGGGTAAAATAGAGATAATTTATTATTTTTTATTATTTAATGCCGAAATGGATTTATCTCAAAAAGTTCTAAAAAAATTGGATCTATTGTAATTAGCCTTGTGTAATGGGGGGCTTTTGACAAATAATCCCATATATATATATATATATATATATATATATATATATATATATATATATATATGGGTTTTTTGAGAAAACCCCTCACTACTTTTTTTAATGGAGGGAGGCCCAAAATATTTTAGTCCATTTGAGAAAAGTCCACACCCATTTTCAGCCATTATGCTTTCATGCTTTGCCCCCGCCCGCCACATCATCACTGGGTCACGCTCAGCGATTTTTTTTTTTTCCGTTTTTTTTCTTCCGTCTTTTCTGTATCAGTTTCCTTAATCGACTATGAAGCATAGTCGATTAGCCTTAATCGACTATGCTTCATAGTCGATTAAGGAAATTATTTAATTATTTATTTATTTTTAATTTTTGTTTTATATCAGGTATAGTAATCGACTATGATGTGAAGCATAGT